CAGCAACTATTTCTAGCCAAGAGAACCCTCAACTGACTTACGCTTTTCAGTCTCTTGCATTTGATTTTGTGGTTCTGCTCTGTGTGCCTTAACACTGATGTATTGTATTTGTCCTGTTTGGTTCTAGTGATTTGCACAAATGTGCTCTGGTTGGCTTTCTGCAGATTTTTACCAAGGATGAATTTTTAAAATTTATTTGATTCTGTGGCACTGCTGATATTCTACACACAAATACTTGACTTTGAAAGATGAGGTTACCTAGAGTTTGGTTCAAAGCGTAATACCTTATATCATCAACATATTTTTCCATAAAGGAAATATTTACCAATTAAATTTTCTAAAAGCCAAACATGTGCCTAGAAATTATATTGCTATTAAGAAAAACTGATGGTCCTTAATACAATGTTTCTAGAGAACCAGTAAGCAAGCTGGGAGGGAGAAGACCCAATATCACCCTGACTGAACAAAATCCACACAGTTTGAAATTAAGTCCTTAACCATCACTTGATGTTCAGTAGTTGAACATGAATGTCACTGTTTTCCAGATACTCTTAGTACATCCTTTTTAAACATTTTTGTGAATATGTAAAAATTCACTTCCATCTCAGTATATGAAGTGCACCCTACTGAGAAGTAACAAATAGCTACAGTGATAATTTAATTACAAAGCTTCAAATTTAATTAGCCAAGTATTAACCTTGCTCTTCTCCCTGAGCATAATTATTTTAACTGATATTTTAGTAATTATTAATTTAATCTCTATCTCTTGTTAAATTATAACAACCAAGGTAATCAAGACCCATGCGTATCTCCCTTTGTGGCTCACAGTCAGGTACCAGGAGTCTAGCTCAGTTCCTGACACACAACAGCACCATGGGTAGAACGGATGTAAGTTGCGTCTGGACTGATGGTGAAATGAGAAGACGTGACAGGACTCCTTTCTAAACAGTGAGGAAGACTGAACCCAAGAAAGCACGAAGAGTGACTGAATGCAGACTTCAGAAATGACATCCACAACTTCAGGGTCCCCTGTTGTTTCCGTGTATCTGGCCACAACACTGTACCTACTTCTATCCCACACTGAAGGATCCTTCCTTTCTTTCCTATTGTCCATGTTTCTTCCTACCTTTCTAATTTTCCAGCTTTCTTTGCTTTAGTATTTCTTTTCCCTTTCCTTTCCTTTTTTCTATATCTTCTATCATGCATTCTTTCTTTTCCTCACGATTTATTTTCTGTTTTTTTTTCTTAATTATAACCATCCAACATCCTACACATAAATGTTAGCCGAGAGATGTGTGCTTGAGAATCTAACAGTCTACGGTGAGAACCAAGTATTCCTCTCTCCAGTGTCTTCATTACATTGTCCTTTAATCATCCAGGCGAAAGCATCTCAGTATCCCTGTTCCACCTCACATCCTAGCTGGGCACTTAATTCAAGACTCCTAAAGTGAGTACTTTACCTGCCCATGTGACATTGTTGCCCCCAGCCCAGCAGTCCATCCCACCTGCTCCATGAGGAGGGACAATGTGAGCTGGGTGAGTGAGTTCATCCTAATGGGTCTCTCCGATGATGCACGGACCCAGGCTGGGCTCTTTGTGCTCTTTGGGGCCACCTACCTGCTGACCCTGCTGGGCAATGGGCTCATCCTCCTCTTGATCTGGCTGGACACTCGACTCCACCTGCCCATGTACTTCTTCCTTGGCCACCTCGCGTTCGTGGACATCTGCTACACCTCCAGCGGGGTCCCCCAGATGCTGACACACTTCCTCCTGGGGAAGAAGACCATCTCCTTTGCCAGATGTGGGACCCAGCTCTTCTTCTCCCTGGCTCTTGGGGGCACCGAGTTTGTGCTGCTGTCTGCGATGGCCTGTGACCGTTATGTGGCTGTCTGTGACCCTCTGCGTTACATGGCAGTGATGAGTCCCAGGCTCTGTGTGGCACTGGCAGGTGTCTCCTGGCTTGTGGGCCTGGCTAATTCTTCTGTGGAGACTGCAGTCACTATGCACCTGCCCACCTGTGGGCACAATGTGCTAAATCATGTGGCCTGTGAGACACTGGCCCTGGTCAGGCTGGCCTGTGTAGATGTGACCCTCAACCAGGTGGTCATAGTGGCCTCCAGTGTAGTGGTGCTGCTGCTGCCCTGCTGCCTGGTCTGTCTGTCCTATGTCCACATCGTGACCACTATCATGAAGATTCACTCCACTCAGGGATGCCGCAAAACCTTTGAGACCTGCACCTCTCACCTCACTGTGGTCTCTATGTCTTATGGGATGGCCCTCTTCACCTACCTACACCCTCACTCCAGGGCCTCAGCTGAGCAGGACAAGGTGGTGGTGCTCTTTCATGCTGTGGTGACCCCCATGTTGAACCCTCTCATCTACAGCCTACGGAATAAGGACGTGAAGGCTGCTGCAAAGTGGGTTCTGATGTGGAGCTCTGAGTCAAAACATTAGGTGGTGATTTTTTGATAAAATGGCTCCTCTCGGAAGACACTAGATACTAGATTATGAACTTTCAGCGCAACGCACAAGCGTTGCTTGGACATGTGCCTGTGCATGTATAACTGAGCAGGTGGTAGAGCAACAATCTACTCTCTTTTGTTGCAATAGAGATGTGGGATTTTTGTCTCTGGACTCTATTTTAGGTCCACACCTTATTCCAAAGTGAATTATATTGACTTAAAAAATGTATATGCCCTACTAGAAAGTTAAATGGAATATATTCACTGCCTTTAATGAATGAAGGAGAAAAAATGATTATCAGCAGATATGAATTAGAAATGAAATTACATCAGAAGTCAGGACAGTATACACAATTCATGCCAAGAAAGTTCATTTCCTTTCTAACATCTGCAAATCTAAATCTAAATCTTTTTTATAGTCATTGAGAAGAGGAAAAACGAGGTGTAAGTTACAAAATTTACTGTGCCCATGGGATCAAACAGGCCTTACTTGGTTCAGAGTTGCAGAAGTCATGTGAGCCACACATGGTGCAGCCAATCTCATTAGGGTGGGGACCTTACAAGAGCATCTGGGGCAAAAGTCATGGTCCCCACAGCCCTGGTGAGTACAACTGGACTGTATGAGTCACATGAGCATCATTTTGCTTGTTTCCCTTTCCAACTGGCAGACCAGAGAGACACATGTTCAGGACCTTAAGCCAGTATCTTTCTACACAATAGAGTCCAAGGATATCCTCTTGTGAAAATGCAGAGATGTGTTTAGAATCCACCCTTTTCTAGAAAGCCACACTACACACTATCACATGAGGGCCAAAGTCTTCAAAAAGAAAAGATTCCTGCTTGTCCACTGGTGAAAATATTGTTCTCCTCCTCCAATATATTAAATGAATGATTGAGTTCTAGATGTCCTAGACCATAAAGCAAAGCAGTGATATTTTTATATTGAGAAATATTTAAACTAACTTTTCAGAAGAAGACCTAAGCATCTCTGACAGAAAGTGTCACTGATGTGTGATTTATCTTGCCCTCATACACATACAAAAGCATAAAATCAGAAAACTCAAGCTTTTACTCTACCTGTTGAGAAGGTGATAAAGGCTTGAAGAGGAGGAAGAAAGCATCATAAATTTATAGTAAATTTTTATTGAAATAACATTCATGTAACATAAAATTTACACTTTTGACAGGTTAAAGTGTACAGTTCAATGGCATTTACTATGTCCATAACATTACGCTACCTCACATCTGCGTAGCTTCAGAACATTTTCATCACTCCCAAAAGGATTCCCTATTCCCATTAACGGTCACTCCATGCCCCAGCTCCTGACAACACTAATCTACTTTCTGTCACCAGTGATTTGCTGATACAGGTACATACATTAATGGAATCATGGAATCTGCCATCTTTTGCTTTTCTCTCTTTTAGCATAGTGCTTTTGCAGTGTTTCATTCCTTTTATGGCTGAATCATATTCAATTGTATATATCCACCACATTTATTTATCCAGTTATCAGATGATAGACATTTGGATATTTTCCACCTTTTAGATTATTATGAATGTGTTATTATGGACATTCATGTAAAATTATTGTTTGAATACCTGTTCTCAATTCTTTGGGTAGACACCTAGAAGTGAAATTACTGAGTCTTATGCCTGAGAAGACATAAGGAAAAGCTCTGTACAATTTTTTGGGCACTGCTTTTTTGGGTAGGATTCCAAAAATACAGGTAACAAAAATGAAACTAAACTTGATTACATCAAACTAAAAACTTCTAACATCAAAGAAACAACTTACGGAATGAAGACGCAGCCCATGGATTAAAGGAAAATATTTTCAAACCATACTTGTGATAAAGAGATAGTATCCAAAAATTCATAAGGAACACAAACACTTCAACAGCAAAAAAGATGAATGTGCCCATTTAAAAACAGACAAATGATCTAAACAGACATTTCTCAAAAGAGATATCAATAGCCAATAGATATATATAAAATTTTCTGTATCTTTAATCAAATTAATTCCACACAGAGATACAATCTCACATGTTAGAATGGCTGTCATTGAAAAGACATGAGAACTGGGTGCCATGGCTCATGCCTGTAATCTCAGTACTTAGAAAGCTAAGGCAGGAGAATTACCATGAGTTCAAGGCCAGCCTGAGCTACCTAGCAAGACGCTGTCTCAAAAAAAACAAAAGAAAAAAAAATATCAAAAGACAATTGAAGAAGAAAAAACTCAGTTTTATACTAAAACAGAGATAATATGAAAGTAGAAGAAGGACTGTCAGAGAGGAAGATGGGGACAGGAGAAATTGGGTAATGGAATTATCAAAGTATATTATAGCCATATATAATATGCCCAAACTATACCTATTGCTCTCTATAACTAATATGCACAAATAAAAAAGACAGAGAACTCCTGTACACTCTGGACAAATTTAAATTTACACAGTCATTTGAGAAGACAATATGAAGATTTCCCAAAAAACTAAAACTAGGGCCGGGGACTTAGCTCAGTGGTTCTGGCACCTGCCTTGCAAGCACAAGGACCCGAGTTTGATCCTTGGTACCAAAAACAAAAAACTAAAAACTAAAACTAGACCGACTGCATGATCCAGCAATCCCACTTCTGGGTTAGCAGCCAAAAGAATTAAAATGAGTATGTTGAAGAGTCAGAAGTTAGGATTTTCAACCTGTGTGGAATAGGTAGGATTGGGCATTTTTAGAGAGGAGTTTTAGTTTAGAGAAATGGATTTGAGACAGAAGACCCAAAAGCTTTGTGGCTGTTGGAGGAGTAAAAGTTGACTACGATCCCTGTCATTTTGGCTGTGAGGGTTTGGGTTTGAGGTATTCCTTATCACCTAGAAAACTTGATAAGGGATGAGTTGTCATCAGGTTTTGGGAGTGATGTCTTAGCAAAGTTTTGCAGAAGAAGATACTTGGAGGAGTGTTGCTATAAGGGATTACATACAGCAGTTTGGATGGGCTGAGGAGATGGGATGGCATGGATGTTATGAGATCTGCCAACATGTTCTGGGCTTGTAACATGAGTTAGGTGAGTTGTATAGGATATAAAGCATGAGAGGTATAGAGTATAAGATGTAGGAATAGAACAAGCCTGGAGATTTTCATAATTAGGAAAACCATTGCCACTAATGTAGAGACAGGTCAGCCACCCCACAACAGTTTTATTCAATTGTTTTGAGAAGTAGCCTATGGAAGTACTTTTGTGCCAAGAAGTTGAGCTAGGAATCCAAAAGTGAATCCCTTTTTGGCATTTACATAAAGGTGAAAAAGTTTATTAGGGTTGTGGGGGTTGAATGTCAGCACAGCGGTAGGGGCCAGTTTGGGTTCATTGGAGATGGAGAGGAGGGGTGACTGAGGTCCCCTCTTAGAGGGGTATGGCCATGAGACCAAAGTTTGGCATCTGCAGTCAAAAGTAATTAGCAAAGGGCCAGGGATTTAGCTCAGTGGTGCTGCCACCTATCTCGCAGTTGCAAGGCCCTCAGTTTGATCTCCAGTACCAAAAACAAAACAAAACAAAAAAGTAATTAGCAAGCCCCCAAAAGAAAAAGAGATCACACTTTTATTGTGGTAAGGGGATCTGAGAGATGAGGATTTGCAGCCATGTGTGATTCCCTTGGAAGTTGGAGTAAAGTCAAGTTCACAGTAGGTAACCTTGGTCTGAAAAAAAATGGCCTTTGTCTGGAGATACCTGGCATCTCATTGTTGTTAAGAAAGTAACTGAACAGTGCCTGTAATTAACAGATTTGAAGAAAGGCTGTGGAGTAAAAAGTTATCAGCATATTGGACAATGAAGCTAGGATCTACAGAAAGAAACAGGAGATCTTTAGTGTTTCTCTAAAAAGGTGTGGACTGTTGCAGAATCACTAAAGAAAGACAGTTTAGGTTGGGGGTTTTAGTGACAGAACCCATTCAGGTAAAGGTAAAAGGATTTGAGAACTGGGGTTGAGAGGGATAGCTTATATAGAGAGATATATAGCTATAGATAGATATAGATATTTTTAAAGAATTGTAAAATGACAGGTACCTGGCAATATTGAGGACAGAATGTTATATGGGTTGGGCAATGGGAGGATTATGGATAGGGAGAATTTACTGATAGTGTGTAGGTACTGGACTAGATAATAGGTTCCATTTTTTATGTCCAAAATAGGAGTGTTGTAAGGGGAAGTGGTGGGTCTAAGAAGTCTGGGAGTGAGGAGGCTGGAGATCATGGATTAAAGTCCCATGTCCTGCAGGTTATGGGGATATTGTGTCTTGCTGGGGAAGGAGAGAGGGTCTTTGAGGACAACCACGATAAGAGTGTGATGAAAAACAGCTGAGAGGTGTTTTGTTTCCCATGTGATGGTGTTGACTTGTTGGAGTAAAATATGAGGTAATGTTTGTGTAATCTGAATAGATGATGGGGGTGGGCTAAGGAGAAGACTAAGGCTGGGGATCTTTGGCTGGCAATGGCATAACGTACTTTTGGAAATATATCTCAGCTCATTAATGGAATTGGACAGGTTGGAAGTATAGAAAGGAATGTGTGAAAACTGTCATTTAAGGCAGAGGCTTGGTACAGAGTGAATTAGAAACAAATCAATCCCCAAATAGAGACAGAGGAGGGAACTAAATGCTCTGCATATTTCTGTAAAACCAAATGCAATGTTCTTGTATCCAAAAGAAAAGAGATCATCATACCTGCTGCATTTAGACAAATCCTGGCTTCTTGAGGTCACAGAAGCTTCAGAACTGGAGCCTAATCAGTTGTCAGCAGTAAGTCCCAGCAAACTAGTAAAGGACATGTCAAAGTTGACTTTGGATTTAGAATGGCTGGCCCTATTCCCAAAGGCCCTGAGACAATCTGTTTGTTCCTTTAGCTCCAGGGAGGAAAAGATGGTTTTTGCATTTACTTTTATCTTGTGCTATTTTTAGTCCTATTTAGTGTTCTGTTTCATTTTTCCTGATGAATCATCAAAGTCAGA